CATCCTTCCCCTTCTCTCAGCTGCTTCCAGACATCAGATTGATGGCTTGCTCCAGTTTGTGCCTCAGTTTGTGTTTGCGACAGTACCCATCCCGGTCCAGTGCTGTTAGGATCTGCACATGCGGGAAAAACAGAAGAAATGATATCAGCTAAGGGTATTGCTTCATGTCCCTGATATAAACAAACTTGTTCGTGCATCAGTGAAAATGTTATTTTGATAGAGGTGCTACGAGTGGTTCAGAGGATGTGGGAAAGGATCGTCTTGCTCAAGGTCAGGGTTGGATGACTAGCTGATTTATTATTTTACTGCCATGTAAGGTAAGTTGATGAGGCAAGTCTTAAGGGGAACCAAAGAGCTGGAAGGTCGTGTTAGTTGCTTTTACAACATCAGTCATGTAGCGAATGCCAATGTCAAACCTCAAAGTTACTAACTCACTCACCTCTTCCTTGTACTTGTTGATGTAGAAGTAGAGCTCGCTGAGTGCACTCAGTGTGTTGAACTCATTTCCGTGGAGTCGGGACTGCTCCACCAGGTATGCGTCCATGTCCTGATCGCTGATGCTAGGCATCTTGGCTATATCCCTGTAATACCTGAAGGACACAGACAAAGTTAGCTGTGGTGACTAACTTCAGACTTTAACTGCATCAGCAAGTTAATGTGTAGCTTTTGGGTTAATTTACCAGGATAATTACCCAAGTCGCCAGCTCTAATGGTGTAATATTTTTACATTTTGCATGAGCAGGCCTTATTAATCATCAGCACTAATTAATGTGATTATGACCCCATACTATTATTCTAATAAGGCAAGAGTCTCAGTCTCTGCAAGCCTTTCTTTCTTTCTTTCTTTCTGCAGTTCTGCTCTTCAGAATGTAAATTAAGCTGTAGTAGCTACTTTAACATATTAATTCTGACAGGTTATATTGATCAGTCACTTTCTTGTCACAGGGCATCAGCTAATATTAGCAGGTTAGTTAACTGGTTATTTACACCTAAACCCAGCTCACTCTTTTATTTTTCTTAAATATATAAATTAATTAGCACGTTAGATACTTGCTTTACACAGGATGTATTAGTTAATAAGTTAGCGTGCTATCTACCTTTCCACCCAGCTCTTGTAGTTGGGGATGTCCTTCGCGTAGAGCAGTTTGTTGGATGGAGAGTCTTTGCCGAGCCGATGTTCAGACGTCGAGCAGGAATCCATGAAGGTCTGAGCGACGACTGACAAGCAAGCGTCGGTGATGCTGCTCTTGTGGATGTCGAACACAAACTGAGGATTCTTAATAACATTCACCCAGAACCTGAGAGGAAGGCTGCAAGAACAGAGAAAAGAGATGTTTTAAAAAAACATTTAAACAGCTGTGACTTTACCTTATAATTTTTTTTAAAATCCACATTCTTGAGCAACTTTTTCTCACCAGTTGCTCTTCCAGGTGTGTCGGACGTCTGGGTCAGTTATCTGTCGTTTGTCGGCCTGCTCGTCTAAGAAGTCGAACATGTATTTTATGGCCAATGGGAGTGCAGAGCCACGATGGGCGGTGCTAAACACAGTCTCAAACAGGTCATCCACAAACTTCTGCAGCGTCCCCTGTTGGTGCGAGGACCAAAACAAAGGTTTAAATATTTAAAAATTAGATAATAGAAAAAAAGATCATTAACCAGAAACATTGGACAAATTCAGAAGGTTAAAATTAACATTTTACCTATTTTGCTTAAACTAGATTATAATATACAAAATGTACATCTTCTGAAACTACAGTCTCTGCGTACAATGAAGATGATTATTACAGCCATACTTTAAGGCATTACTGTAACTTTAATCTTAAGCCCCACACTGACATCTGTGAAGGTTTGTGCTGTTTTGTTTGAGGTACCTTGGTTGCTAGAAGTCTGGTCAGGTAGATTTCAGAAACCATCTTGCTGCCACGGTCTCCTTCTCTCTGGTCGCTGTGCTCATGATTTTTCACCAGGTGCCACAGTTTAGTTCCTGGAAAGACACAAAGGCTCGATTACCAATCCCAGTTTTCCAGAAGCCACAGAAGTCTCAGTTTTACTCCTTTCTTTGGTTAATTATCAATTTATTTGAAGCAATTACCTGCAAATTTGCCAAAAACTGGCATCACTCTGTAGGTACCCTGTGTCAAACTTTATTTCAGGTGTTATTCATTAACTATAGAACTCCAATATTATCATTTTTGGTATCTAGATAATATAATTTCCTTTTTCTTGGCAGAGTTTTTGTCTGAGATAGACAAAACATCCAAGTATATCAAAGATCATGACTGTGCTGTCACAGAAGTTAAATGTAATGCTGTCTCAACACAAGCAATGAATCCTGTTCATCTTTCACAGCATCTTTGAAACAAACTTAAAGGTCTAACACATGAAAACACCACAGATGTATCCTAATGTAAAGAAAGCTACTATATCTGAGTATATCTGCTGCCATATTACCAGTTTCCTGGTCTGGGGTGATCATTGGAGCTCTGGATCTCAGGCTGTCGGGACTGCTGGATGTTCTCAGTAAAGACTCTGATGGCACAAACAGAGAGAAAGATGGTCCTGATTAGTCATCTGGTTAGAAAAGAAGAGGCTGAACGCTGATTTTGTGAGTCAACACTGTGCTTTAATGGTGAGAACTGAACAACAACATCTGGCCTGGATATAAACTAAACTTTCACTGTTTTCCACACAGCTGCTATAGCTATAAAGGTAAACAGTCATTGTGCATAACTTCCAACAAACCACATCTGTATAACTTGTAACGCCCTCAAAAATACATCTGTGTAAAATTTATTTTCACCAACGAAATGTAAACGCTGTAATCTTGCAAGTGTTATGGATTAAATCAATCTCAGATTATTATTATTTCTGACTGCTGTGTTCCCCTTTAATTCGTCTGTAGCGTCTCAGTGAGTTGTGCTAACTTTTACTTTCCACCTCCAAAGTTATTGTGACTCTCAGACGTGTTAAATACATTTATTTCCTCTTCACGTTAACTAGCTGTGGGCAGACACTGAAGGTAGCAAGCTGAGAAGACATGAGAACAAAAAATTCAGTTTGATGAGTGAATATCGTGTTAGATTTTCTCTGTCACTTCACTGTCGGTCCAATCCTCTGTGTTTGCTTCCAGTTTTGGAGCCAACTGTTTCCTAAAAACGTGTTTGAAGCTGGTGATTGATGGTGTTGCCACACTGTCTAAATCAATCACCGTATACTCATATCAAAAGACTAAAGACTAAAAACGCAGTTCTTCTAACTTTGATAGTTGCTAGTTCCTGCTGTGCTCAAACACAAAAGAGAGAGACTTCCTGTAGAGGTTGGGTTGTCCGTACAGGTTACCAGTAATCCAGATCATGGTACGAATTTAAAAACCAGAAGAAGGAGGAAGCATAAAGCATTCTTTAAGTTTGTGCAGACGTTTCAAACCCTCATTACTTTGATTTATAAGCAAATTGAATGGATGCACTGAGCTGCTTTTAGAGCCAGCAGTCCACCACAGTGTTAATACTGTGGCGGATTCGGTCCAAGCGGGCGATGCCATTGGCAGTCACGATAACCTTGAAACTTGAAGGACTCCAGGCTACCTCAGGTTTGTTAAAAACACATATGCTGGCATTTCTGCAGCGTGTACAGGCAGTACAGCAAATGTTAAATTGCAGTTAAAAAAATGTTTGGACTGTTGCTAAATTAAACTTTCCTCCATTTCTTGAAATATGTGCAATGTGGTAGAGAATGAAAAGTTTGCATGACCTATGAGGAGGTAATAGAAACGGGAAATACAGTCAGGTGAAATAAACCAGAATGATGCATTTGATATATGAAAAGTCTGGAAACCATTAACCCTGCCAATAAAACACGATGCAGAACTGGCCAGCAAGAAAACCTAATAACTGTGTGTGTGTGTGTGTGTGTGAGTGAGCGCGCTCAGTACCGTATCTGCTCAGCGATCTGGTGAAGGTGAAGGAGTTGGCGATGTTGTAGGCAGAAACCTGCTTCTGGACGAGCGCCACCACGGAGCCGTCTGTTACCTAGCAATGCACAGTGAAACATCAGTTAGTCAGCCAATCGCTCCATCAATCAGCTGACTAATTATCCGTTCAGCCAGTCGATTCTTATCCCGTCCACAATCTTGATAAAATCCACACGTGCCGCTGCAGGAGCTGATGAAGAACACGAACTTGCTCGGAGCTCAAACAGAGAGCGAGGGTGCACAGGCCGCTGAGATTTTAATAAATCGGCAAGAGGAAATGTTTTCAATCTGCAGCTGCACAGTCATTTTACGAGTGCCGTTTAAGTATTATGAAGTGGACTGACTGTATACTTACATTAGACCATTCTTTCATTCTATTACATCTTCAACAGTCTTCTTAATCCTCAAAATGATCTTATACTGTATGTGTATTAGATTACATTGTGTTTTAAGTAAGCTACACTATATCACAATACTTCATGCAATAGAATTTTATGTTGCCTTATACTATATAGTATGTTCCATTACATTATGTTAAATATAAGAGTTTTCCTGGATAATGTCACGTAAATCAAAGCTTTGGTGCTGTCTGGGTTCAAAGGTTTGGCTTGTGGTTGTCAGTAGTTTCAAACTGTCTAATTTTCAATTCTTTCTTGTATTTGTGAAAGAAAACTGAGAAGATTTATTGACTTCTTCAAGTAAAACACCTGTTCTTTTCACCAAACAACATGTTCGGCTGGTTTCTGTACCAAAGCAACGTTTCCCATTAGTGTGCAAAAGTCAGGAATTCCACTAAGCTATTAATGAAAGACTTATATGTAATCTTACATAAGGTCTTCAGTTATTAACACAATGGTGCTAAAATCAGGGGTGGAAATATGAACACTACCTTCCTTTTTACTGTATAGTGGAGACATAACCCGACCTGCTGCTGGTAGAAATCTAACTGCACTTTTAAAGCTCTCGACAATTGTGATTGGTCTGTTAAGCACCATTGATTCCAGCTGTGATGTTCAGGATACTTTTTGCTGGAGTGTTTGGGAAAAACGTGTGAATACCACTCTCCTAACATTTTATTTGTCTCCATCGTGCACACAAGTGACTGGCGGCAGCAGCATCAGCCACTCGTGCAGGTTACGGTGTAGGCTGTACAGAAATCCGAATCAGCCGACAGACCGAGGACAGAAACACAGACTAAATACATACAAGGAGTGAAGGGAAGAGGGGAATTAAAGCACTGTGGGACAAGAACAAAGAAAGGAATAAAAAATAGGGAAAATAATAATAAATGGTATTTATGTTAACTAGACAAGATAAACAGTTAAAAGTTTCTTTACTGAAAACGTTTCAAATGTGGAGAAAATATTATATTCTTACTAAAAGGTTTCATGTGGATGAAACTGCTAACAAACAAACTTTCAGGTGATCTCTGCAGTGAATGCACGTCTGTACCTGGTAGTGCGCCAGCGTGTTGAGTCTCTTCCAGTCGCTCTCTATCTTAGTTGTCACGTCTTCGTCCTGCAGGATGATCCTTGTGAGCCGACCCTGACGCCACTCTGACATCACGAGCACAGACAAAGGATCAGAGAACTGTCCACCCAACCCCGAACTGCAGTCGTGTTTTAAATGAACTGGGCTTAAGTTTGACGACTCTCTGCTGGAGTATGTAACTGATTTATTTTTACTGACATTTTATTATTTACTGAAATTCTGATGAATGGGGACCTATTCTCCTCACTTTGTCATTCATACATGTATTCACCTAATTTAATACAATTATTAGATACACAAGTATATTTTGCAGGTATCGTGTGTCTCAGAAGTTGCATTTACCAAGAACTCATGCGTAGTGACTGTTTACTCGGTGGTACAGAGTTTTTTATTTTTCCCCCACTAGGGATAAATTAGCATCCCCTGACTGGTTTGTAAGCAGTGCTGTCTCTAGGTAAAACCAGCCACAGTGGTTGTGGTTTCTAGCAACTGCTGCAGGCAACTTGTATAAAATTATCGCTCAACTACTTGCTGAGATGCAGAAAAACTGTGAAAGGTGTAATACAAACTGGAACTGAAGTAAAAGTAGTGCTGTGTAACTGTAACAGTCCATTTTAAAAGATGGAACTTTTACTTTGAAGGCTAACGCTTCCTCTTTCTGGTTTGCATTGCGGTTGCCACCAGTTTTGCCTGTTTACTACCAGCAACTCCAACCAGTTAAGGAAACACATTTTTATCTAGCCACAGTGGTTGCCAGGGAGTTGCCAACTGGTCTTTAGTCCTGTGTAACTGGGGACTAACTAGCAGTTGGCGGGTTGTTGGGGACATTAAACCCCATCATGCTGAAGACAGGACCTGAGTGGTGATGGTGACGTTAAACTCACTGAGTAACAGTAGCGTCTTACATATAGCAATTGCAATTATGTCTCAAAAACTAGAAAAACAACATTGACTTGTAGATGTTATGCTGTTAAACAAGAAAATATTTTCTGAGCTAATCCAAAGTTTATGTAAAAATCACATCACAGCCACAGAGATGTCATCCATTGGTTAGCAAAGTCCTTTC